ACTCATCCAGACCAAACTATGCTCTGTACGTTGGATGTGTCTAAAGCCTTAGAAGATTTGGAAAGTGAGTGGTCAAACAAGGACCCTCGCGAATCTTGGGTGGCACTAAGGAAAGGTCCTAGAGGGGAACATTTCGTTGTGGAAGTTGATGTAGGAGGCCGCAAATGTAGTGCCTTCATAGACATCGGCTCCACGCGGAACTATATAAGTCACAACTGTTTGGAAAGGCTACGCCTACAGGACCGGGTACAACACCTTAGTAGACCCGTAGCATCTACTTTGGCCAACAAGGAGCGCATAATTGTCACAGACTATATCAAGGATGTAGTCTGCACCTTCTCCTATGGAGGAGGGGAACTTAATCACAAGATTTCGTTCCAAGTTAGCGACAACTTACCGTTTGATATGCTGTTAGGAATGTATTACCTTGAGGTTGCCAAGCCCCAGTTTGACTGGGACAAGAAAGTGTTGAAGCATAAGTTGCCTGATGGAATAACAGTTAGACTGACTAAGTTCAAAACCAGTAGTATAATCGATACCTATGGCTGCTTGTGTGCATCAACGTTCTATAATTATTATAAACAGAACCAAGAGGAGGGTATGTACCTAGTGTATATCTCTGAGAAAGGGGCGACCGTTAAAACACCCCCAGAGATAGAACACGTCGTTGCTAAGTTCCCTGATCTGTTCACGGAGCCTACAGGAGTCGTAGAAAGGGAGGTTGTCCACGTTATAGAAATCATTACAGGGAGTAAAACCCCAAAGGGAAGGATCTCTAGGATGGCTCCGGCCGAGTTGGATGAACTTCGGCGACAACTGAAAGAGCTGACAGAGAAGGGATGGATCTGGCCGAGTACTTCCCCTTACGGATCTCCTGTGTTATTTGTACCGAAGAAGGGGGGTACATTAAGGATGTGCATTGATTATAGAGGCCTCAATGCCATCACAGTGAAAAACGCAGAGCCTCTACCTCACATAGACGACCTATTGGATAGGGTGCAGGGATGCAAGTACCATAGTAAGATAGACTTAAAGTTCGGCTACCATCAGATCGCAATAAGACCCGAGGATCAGCACAAGACTGCTTTTCAGACCCGATACGGTCTGTATGAGTTTGTAGTGATGCCCTTTGGCCTTTGCAATGCGTCGGGTACATTCCAGCACGCTATGAATATGATCTTTCATGATCACTTAGATAAGTTTATCGTTGTCTACTTGGACGATATTCTTATCTTTAGTAAGTCTGTCGAAGAGCATGCACAGCAGGTTGAGACTGTACTCTCACTCTTGCGACAGCACAAGTATAAGGTCAACCTAGAGAAGTGTGAGTTCGGACGTACTAAGATCTTATACTTGGGACATGAAGTATCCGCGGAAGGAATTAGGCTGGAAGATGCGAAGGTGGCTAGTATTAGGGACTGGCCACGACCTCAGACTGTTACTGAGGTCAGATCTTTCTTAGGAATGTGCGGCTACTATAGAAACTTCGTGAAGAACTATTCTACAGTCGCCTCTCCTTTGACTGATCTAACTCGACTTGACACGCTGTGGGACTGGAGTGATGAGTGTGAGGCTGCTTTCAAACGATTGAAGCATGCACTCATGAATCATGAGGTTCTCATGGTGCCCGATCCTCAGAAGTCATTCATTGTAACCACTGACGCAAGCCAATACGGCATTGGCGCAGTGCTGGCTCAGCAGGATGGGAAGAAGTTGAGACCGATTGAGTACATGAGCAAGAAAATGCCATCAAAGAAACTGGCAAAGTCCACCTACGAAAGTGAACTCTATGCTCTTTACAAAACACTTGTTCATTGGAGGCATTTCCTGTTGGGACGGTTTTTCTACTTGAGAACTGACCATCAGACCCTCAAATGGATCAAGATTCAACCGGCTCTCTCTGATGCACTCAAGCGATGGATTGAGGTCATAGATCAGTATGACTTCAAGCTAGAATATCTGAAGGGAGAGTACAACAAGGTTGCAGATGCGTTGTCCCGTAGAGCAGACTACCTAGGGGCGCTAGTTTCTAAGTTTGGTGTATCTCAGGAAGTAACTCAATCGTTGGTGGGAGCCTATCAGGAAGACCCTGTCATGATGGACATCATACGCAAACTTCAGGCAAAAGAAAAGGCCACAGAAAGTGAATTTGTGATGGTGGATGGGTTACTCTTTCTTGATAAGGCCGGGTGTAAAAGGTTAGTAGTTCCATCGAGTGAGAGTTTGCGTAGTTTATTTCTAGGGGAATGTAACGACACAACTGGACACTTCGGCTACAAAAAGACGAGTGCCAATCTAGTACAACGATTTTGGTGGCCTGGAATGCTAGATGATGCAAAGAAGTATGTAAAGACCTGTCAGGTCTGTCAGCGGGATAAGCCGCGAACTCAAGCACCGCTTGGGTTGCTGAAGCCCTTACCTATCCCCGCTGGTCCGGGACAGAGTGTTTCCATGGACTTCATGGACACCTTGGTGACCAGTAAGAGTGGCAAGAGGCACATCTTTGTCATCATAGATCGATTCACCAAATACGCTCGACTAATTGCCATGCCAGAGACCGCAAGAACTGACCATGTCATCAAGTTGTTTATGGACAACTGGGTGCGTGACTTTGGACTACCAAAGTCAATCGTTAGTGACAGAGATGTCCGATTCACAAGTGAGCTATGGAAGAAGACTGCTGAGCAGATGGGCAGTCAACTTCAGATGACTTCAGGGAATCATCCCGAAGCCAACGGACAGGCCGAGCAGATGAACAGAGT